GCGCAACACACGCTCGCCGAGTGTGTAGCTTGGGAGGAGCAGCGCCGTGTCCTCACAAATGTAGTAGGAGGCGATTTGTCGCTGTCGGCCTTGGTGCGGAGTATGGTCGGTAGCGCAGAATCGTGGGATGCAGTGGTGTCCTTCTGTGAGGACGTGATGTCGCAGAAGGAAACTGCGGAACGGGAGAGGGAGATCTCGACTCCCTTCCCTGGCCGCAGAAGGCGCACCGGGCGCAGGAGAAGGGCGGACAACGCCCTTTTTCCAGCCCCCATGAATAAGTCCAGGGGCGAGGGACTAGGGGAAGCCCCCGCCCCCCTATTCGATGGACCCGAGGCGGAGGCACGCGTGGGTGTCGGCGCGTGCCTCTGAGGTGATACAGGGGGTAGTTGAACACCTCACTACCCCGTGCAGGAGACGAGGCCCGTACAGACCGGGCCAGCACTAGTGTGGGGCTGCGGAAGAATTTGGATTCCCGCGGCCCCGCGCGTGCACGTGCGAGGAGACACCGGGGTGGTTTTAGCCGGTAAGAGTCCGGCACACCCCTCCGCCTGTCCCCAGGCAGAGGCAGTCCATGAGGATTTCCCCCCGTAAAAAAAAAAAAAAAAAAAAAAAAGGTTAGGTTAGGTTAGGTTAGGTTAGGTTCCCCCCCCGAACGGGTTCCCGCCTTGTCGTGGCGGGGGGGCTTAGTAGCCGTGGCTTGGTCTCCCACGGTGAACAAAGAGGAACCCACGTGGCTGGCCCGAGGTGAAGGGCCGGCCTGAGGTGGCCACTCCGAGTGGCCTTCCTCGGGGAGCCCACTTCGGATGTGTGCTGGTGGACTGCAGCGAGTGGGGACTCCGCACCCTCTACCGCTGCAGCCGAGGTGGAGTCGCGGAGGAAGAGGAGTGTTGGTATGGCGATGCGCCACTCGCCCTATCCTCCGCGACTCAAACGGGGCCGCACCGTTGATGCGGTGGTGATGGGGCTGCGGGGGGGAGAGGATTGTCGGTATTGCGAGGCGCCGCTCTCCCTACCCTCCGCAGCCGAATCTTGGTTGGCGGCGGAGCCATAGACCAGATCCGCCGCTGGGGTCGGGAAGGCTGGTACTTCTAAGTGCTCGTTTTTCCTGGCCCCATGGCCTTCGCGCATCGGACGCGGGGGCGTCTGTTGCGACGTGCAATTGGAGGCCGTGGAGGAAGGCGTGCCATGTGTTCTGGTGCGCCTTACTTGGGAAGGAGAACGGGGAGGAATATTCCTCTCCCGAGGAGGTGCTGCCATGGGGCGGCAGGCGCTGGTAGGGCCGCGGAAGTGTGCGAAAGCGTTCCCGTAGCCCTGCCAATATGAGACAAAGATGGAACACCATGGGGTTTTAGTCGGTGCGAGTCCGACATAACCCGTCCTTGCCCCCGCGAGGCGGGTATGCGTAGGCATTTCCCCATGTCAAAAAAAAAAAAAAAGGTTAGGTTAGGTTAGGTTAGGTTAGGTTAGGTTTTTTTTTTCCAATAAGTACTCTACAGACTCGAAGTCCGTACCTTTTTTTTGCTTTACTTTATTTTATTAACTTTTAAAATACTGGTATGAATGTACTCCTTACACTACTTACATTACGTAAATATTTAAGCCTAAGCAGTGAGTTCACATATATATATATATATATATATATAATTTTTTTGTATTATATTTTTTTTATTATTTCTATTGTCTTACATTCTTAAGATCTACAAACTGATATGCTTACATGCGACATGCATTTACACGCTATATTTATTTTTTTTACACTTTTTTTTTTGTATTATTATTCTTTTTTTTTTATTTCTATTGTCTTACATTCTTAAGATCTACAAACTGATATGCTTACATGCGACATGCACTTACACGCTATATATTTTTTTTTTACACTTTTTTTTTTGTATTATTATTCTTTTTTTTTATTTCTATTGTCTTACATTCTTAAGATCTATAAACTGATAATCTTATATGCGACATGCACTTACACGATATATTTTTTTTTCCTTTTTTTTTTGGCATCAGTATTATTTACCTTTTTTTTTTGTTGTTTAAACATAATAATTGTCGACCCACTTTGTGTTTTTTATATTTTTTTTTGTCCTTTTTCCCTTATGTATTTATCTACGTACTTAATGTTTATGGCCTTACATGCTATGTTAATTTATTATATTATCAGAATTTTTTTTCCCTTTTCCTTGTACTTAATGTCGTGGAGGGTGCTCCATCTTTAACTGTTTGTGATATCTGTTGACAGGGCTTCCACAATAGCTTCGTCTCTGTTTCTAATTGCCATTTTCAGATTATATTCTTTGATTATTTTCGTTGTCCCAGCCATTGCGCTCTCAACCAGCCTCCCAGTTGCATCGTCGCAATCGTCCGTGTAATAAACACAGCTTTCTGTATGCCTGGACACTGCCACTACTGCGTGTTGGACGCTGTCATAAATTTTGAGCTTCTCTGTTGTTGTCCTCATTATGACCACTCTCCTGTATGTGAGACCTTGGGCCTCATGTACGGTTAAAATTCGCGACCCAAGACCCGAACCATATCCCTGGCTGGTAAGGGACTCCTTTTCTGCTTGCGTAAATACAAGATATAAGATGTCGGGCAGGATACCTGGTATGACGACTCCCGTGTACCTCTTCCTTTCTAGTGAGTGCACCTGAGATCTGGATGAATAAATGCCACTGTAGATTTCATTCAGGGCATATGCCACATCCATCGGATTCCGGTGCGTACACAGGAGCTCTTGGCTGATAGTGGTCACGAGGCTTGGGCGAGTATATTGCATCGCAAAGAGGTTTTCCCTGTCGATATAAGGAAGTTGATTGATGTCACCAATAAGCAGTATTTTTTCCGCTTCACTTAGCCGCATTGCCATTACTATGGCCCCGAAATGGTTCATGAGAGCTTCGTCGACTAAAAGTCGAGTACATCTTCCCTTTTGCCTTCTCATACCATTTACTAAAACTGAGGCCATAGTGCGCACTTTTGTTTTTGCGTCAGTGGCTATGCGGTTGGCTAACTTTTCTCTAAGATCTTTAGCTGCTTCTGTTGTTGTTGTGACAATCAAATCATCCTCCGCATCGAATTGGTTTATAACCCAAGTTGTTTTGCCACATCCCGGGACTCCATTGACCCAATTTATCATCGGCACCGTCCAGTTTTCCCAAGAATGTCCCAGTGCACAGGCTCCCGAGATGGTTTCCGCCATTTTCAGGATCCTGTCCTCTACCATCACCCTGGTACAACGGGCGGTGACCACAATAGGGTCGTTGTCCCTGTCCCTGTCCCTAGGGCCCTGTCGTTCTGTCTCCTCCTCATCCAAGGCTACGAAGCCCGCTGACCCGCTATAAGCCGCCATGTGACGACCCATTTTACCTCTTATGACAGTAGATGTTTTGTTGTCATAAATTGCGGCCTCTGCTTCCTCGAGCTGCACCCCAAGGAACTCATGACTACCGAGGTGGAAACTTTGTAAGATATTCTTGCAAGTAGTTTGGTTCACCTCAAGAGTTGCTTTTATGAGGGCCTTAAACTCTAAGAAAGCGTTGATTATGTGGTCTTTAGGCTCGACCGCCGGTAGAAGTCTTGGAGGGCTGACACGTCCCGAACAGGGTCTAGTGTGGGTGGGTTTGGATTTCTTGAGTACTCTTGGAGGCTCTCTTATTAAGTTATCGGCTTGTCTTAACTTGCTCAACTTTCGCATTGCTCTTCCTGGAATGCTCTGGGCCGCTGCACTGATGGTTTTAATTAGTGCACTTACCCCGCTTTGTGACTCAGAACTTTTGCTAAGTTTTTCCCTGGCTGCGGCCTTTTCTTTGGCCGTTTTCAGTTGCAGGCGTTCTGAGCCACTAAGTGTCTCTGGATTTGCTACAAGATGTTGGGTTGCCTTTGTTGAGTCGTGATGTTTGAGGAAGCTCAGGTTTTCACCCCTATCCTCATACACGACTATTTCATGTTTGTTTGAGGCTTTTATGCAACCAATGTGGTCCATGACTTCACCTTTCTCATATAGGACCACCATGGCATCCACACTTATGATGCGGGGTATGACAGCTGTCTCTTCCTCACCGAGTCTCGTTAGCAGTGAGCATGCCTGGGCGAATGGGGTTTTTTCTTCGCTCCATGTGAATAGCAAGATCTTTTTGTTTTTCGATCTTACTATTCGACATCGTTGCTTTGCAACCTCTATTTCGACTAGCGCCTCATATGTTTTGCGCTTCATGCTCGTTTTGAGAGTACTGCCGTTTAGTAAGCTTGCGAGACCGGGAGATATTTTGACATAGTTTCGGCCAGTTGTTAAGCAAAAACTTAAGCCGAAACGCTCTGTGTTGTTATCCATGAAGAGAGCTATTCCTCGAATTCTCAGGCCTGGGTTACCTCTTTCAGCGCATGCAAATAGCTGATGGTCTGCTTTATTGGCTGGGATGCTCTTCTCCTTTACGGAGACCTCTGCGAATTCCGCAACAGTTTGCTGCTGCCTGGGGAATGGATAGTTCGTGGCGTTATGCTATGCAGCAGCGCGAAAGATGGACTCCACGAATGCCAGAAATTTGGGCCTTTTTTCTTCGTCTTCGATGATTTTGTGTAGGTCAGACTTGTCAAGATTGGTGTTAATGCAAAACTCGAGTTCCAGACGTGCCGCCTGATAGCGGGGACACTCCAGAATCACATGCCACACTGACTCACTGACATTGGGATCGCACTCGCACCCTGGTGTATCCTTAAGCTTAAAGCAGTGCAAGTACTCCGCAATTCCACCATGTCCTGTTAACACTTGTATCTGTGTGGGTGTCAACTTCGTCTTTCTCACTATCCGGTATGCTATTGCAACATCCGGTAGGAATATTTTGGTGACTTGCCCAGTGGTCGAGGTCTCGTATCTGTCCTGCCAGATTCGAACGGTTTCCTCTCTGATTTTCTTTTTAACGTAGGACATGGGGATTTTGTCGTAGTCTAGAGTGGCTGTCTCCCGGAGTGCCGCTGCCTTGGCGAGCTCATCAGCTCTCTCATTTCCAGACGTGCCTACATGAGCCCTTAACCAAAACAGCCGTATCACTCTTCCCTCTTTTCTCATCTTCCCTATGCTTTCTTGAATAGGGGGTGGCTTGCTTTAGGGTTTGCAGATCGAGCGAAGATCTTGAGTCACTCATGATGTTAACGACGGGTTCAGTGCTCGATTCAGCTAGTTTGGTCGCCCTGAGCAAGGCATAGAGCTCGGATTGGAAGACTGTACAGGATGGATCCAGTCTAAAGGTGGAACTACTGATCTCCCTGCCATCTTCCCACCACGTTAAAGCTGCTCCGACCCTCCCTTCAATCTTACTTCCATCGGTGGAGGTTTGTGTTTCCGATTGTTTCCAGTAGCTCATATTCCAATTTGACGAGTTTAGAGGGATGAGGTTGATCCAAGTGATTTACACGGTTTTCAAGCTCTCTTCCTGGTGGTAAATAGTCCAGTGTGCCTTGTTTCCTGGTTTGGTACAAGCTGGACGCTTCTTTTGTTCTCAGGTCTAACGGAAGCAGACCCGAGATGGCAAGCGCGGAAGTGAGCGATACCGTGCGGTACGCTTTACAGATCTTCTGCGCGAAGCCCCTTTGCAACGTGTTTAGTTGGTCTTTGATCATCTGAAGTTCTGTTGCTGAGGACCACACGCTCGAAGCGTACATCACTATAGGTTCGACGACTGCAAAGTATATTGTCCTTACAATCTCACCATTGAGACCCCAGGTCACCTTGGCCGCGCATGCAAGCTGTTTGTATATGTCAGCCGCTTTTTTGCATACGGCTGCTACATGCGGCTTAAAGGTGAGTCCACGGTCAATGATGAGACCGAGTACTTTAATTTCCTCTACGAGGTTTACTCTGCTGCCGGACATTTGCAGGTTGGGGAGGTCAAATTTAAGTTTTTTAGTGACAAGCATTGCATTTGTTTTATGCGCTGCAAACTTTAACTTGTTCTGGGTTCCCCACTTCTTTACTCTTTTTAAAGTGTCATTGGCCTGTTGCTCCAGGGCACTCGTTGAGTGACTCGAGAACACCAAGACGACGTCATCTGCAAATGCCTGACAATACACCCCTTCGTTCGTAAGTTGGTGCAGCAGTGAGTCTAGGATAACATTCCAAAAGGTTGGTCCACCGATAGATCCTTGAACACAGCCCTTCGTAGTTCCCCTCTCACTCGTTGCTCTGGCATAGTTAATTACGATTTTTCGATCTTGAAGGTAAGATACAACCATATCGTGGAGGTTTTTGGGACATTTCTTTTTGGCTAGTTGCAGTTTTAATGCTGGCCACCATGCGTTGTCAAAAGCTCCCTCTATATCTAATGAAACAACAAGGACGATCTTCTTATTCCTCACTTTGTTTTTGATATATTTCAATAGATCATAGAGGGCGTCCTCAGTACCACGTTGAGGCATGAACCCATACTGGTTTTTATTAAGAGTTGGTAGGATGTACCACTGGAGTCGGCCCACCATCAACTTCTCGACTATTTTTCCGAGTACTGACAGGAGACCTATTGGTCGGTATGACTTTGGATGTGTATAGTCATCCTTTCCTGGCTTACGGATGATGACCACATGTGCAGTTTTCCACTGCTTGGGAAAGTACGCAAATTTCAAGCACTTGTTGGCTATCGCTTCCTGTTGCAGTTTATTGCAGCGGAGCAGATGTCAGCTGTTAGCCAGTCTGGTCCAGGGGCCTGGGGTTTAGTGTTTGTAACACTGATTCAAGCTCCGCTTCTGCTAAAGGTAGGTCATCTTCTGACAAACCTAGGTCTTTGTTAATTTCCGTCAGCTCTCGTATTTTGGTGTGGTATGGCTGATCTGTTTCCACACAGTCGTCAGGGTAAAATGTTTGGGCCAAGAGTTCTGCCGACTCTTTTGGTGTCAGAGTTTCCCCTTGGATGTTTCTTAGGAGCATGTCCTCATATCTTCGTGAGGATTTCCGGATAACTCTGTAAATTTTATCCCACATGCTCTCCCTTTCCTGTGTCGTGCAGAATTCCTTCCAGCTTTCGGTTTGCGCCTCCTCAACTTTTATGGTGTATTGTTGTATTATGTATTCGTCTATTACGTGTTGTCTTCGACTTGGTGCCGCATTTCTAATACGTCTTTTTTTCCTATGGACTTCTCTTTTGAGTTGGTTGAGAGATTTTGACCACCATGGGGGCGTTGCATTCACCCCCCTCATGCCCATTTTCGGAATAGTCTCATCACAAGATTCCTGGATTGCTTTTGTGTAGGCTATTGTGATGGATTCCAGATCGTCATGGATTTCCGCCTCCTCAATTAGTGTGGGAGTTATGGCTCTTTCTTTTAGAAGGGATCTAAAGCGTGTTGAGAAGTCCGACCAGTTTGCCTTTCTGGTGTTGTATTTGCGTGTTGTGCAGGGCCGTAATTGAGTCAAGACCACTTTGGTGCGCAGTGTAAACATAATCGCGTTGTGGTCTGATGTAATTAGGCTTCTCTCCACTCTCCAGTCCTCCACATTGCCGAGAAGTGACGAACTGCAAGCAGTGACGTCTACTATGCTCGAACAAATTCTCCCCCCTTCTGTATGTTTCGAAGGTAGGCGTGTCACCCGTGTTCAGAATATGGAGATCCATTTCATTGAGGAAGGTGTTATATGCCGCGCCTCTTTCATCTTCGGAATTACTTCCCCACCATTGGCTCCAAGCATTTGTGTCTCCAGCCACTATGATGTTGTTTGTGTGAAGTTTTGCGCAAGCTGCTTGGATTCGCTTAAGGTAGGGATTTATATCTTGCTCTCCTTCGAGGTAAACTGACACGACTCCCAGTTTTAAATTTCCTGCAACGAGAAGTACTGCCGCTTCTGTTTCGGTAACCAGCTGTGGATCATGGATAATCTCCAGCTGGTCTCCGAAGATCAGCACTGCGGCCTTTACTGGTTTTTGTCTATTCAGGCTGCATTGAACTACTCGCGTGCCGGTATGTTCTTTAATAACGCCATTTTTCCCACATAGGGTTCCTGTACTATGGCAATCGACACTCCTTTATTCGATGCAACCTGAAGTAGTTCCGCCGTTGCTACCCTGGAGAGTTGCAAGTTCACCTGAATGATTTTGAGGTCTGACCTACTAATGTTGGAGTTGATATTATTTTGGTTGCCCTTAGCAGTAAGATATGCGGGACCGTGCTATTGCATCCCACTTCTGCTTTTCCCGGCAATCAAAGCTAAAAGCATTGTGTGCCAGGTCCGTATCGGCACCGTGCGCTTTGAGGCAATTTTTACATCGGGGGGTCTCCCCTCCAGTCTGATCGGGCATTTGTCCCATGAATGAGTCTCTCCGCAGTGACTGCAGAGTTCCTCCTTTTCATGGCACACTGCTTTTGTGTGGCCAAAACCGAGGCATTTTGTGCATTGCACAAGGGGAGAGTGATCCATTATTGGTCTTCTTTGGAGGCCAATCTAAATTTTACCCGCATCAATGAAGCGCCTGTGCACTTTTGGAGAGAGCTCAAGTACAGGATGGCACTCTTGTGGATTTCTCGCCTTTTTCCTGTATCGAACTCTGACTGTTCGCTCTTTCTCATCGACGTCATGCAGAAGGTGTTTGTTCTGCGCCAGTATATTTTCCACGATTTCGACGTCTGTGTGATACGATAGCACGTCCCTGATTATCGCCAAGGGATTGTTTGTTCTGGCAACCTCTACTTTTAAACTTTTATTTGTCTTAACTCTATTTTGGACAAGGTTAAGATCCTCCTTGGTGTTGCAACTGAGGACGACTTTTTGGTTTTTCGCCTTCCTTACCCTATCTACGATGGAGCCAAACTCCAGTCTTTTTTGTGTCTAGAGCCTCCCTGATTCTCTCGATGATGTTTTCGGCTGTGTTTTTCGAATCAGTTGATGTGATAATGAGAGTGTGATTGGGTTTAGGAAGGGGAGGGCTTGCAGCCACTCTGGCGTATGTCTTTTTTGGCTTTGTTGCTGCTTCGCCAGTTTGTGCAAGCTCTGTTGCTAGACTTGGGGCTGTAGGTGATGGGGCCCGTTGCTTCTGTTCTCTCATCGTCCTCAACTCGGATGACATTGCACCTAAGTGTTCTTCTATAGGTTGAAGATGTTCCCTTATGCTGGTTTGGAATATTTTACTGGAGTCCGCTGAAGGTAAGATTGAAAGTCCAGATCTGATACTTGTATCTATCTCCTTCAGCGAACTCTTCATTCCATTCAGCTCATGTTCCAACGTTTTACTTATTTCCTTTGAGGGGTGGGATGGTGGTGACTCCAGGCGTAGCAGGGTTTTTTGGTCGGTCTCCAGAACCTTCTTGGTGTTGTTTTCGGACTTTTCGATGACTCTGCGCATTCCAGTAAGGTCCACTCTTAGGTGAGATAAGATGTTGTCTGCACCTTCTTCCTTTTGCTGACTCAAGTTCGACTGGATCACACCTATGCGCTTGTCTAAGTCCGTCACAGCTTTGAGTAGGTCACTCGTTTTGCGGAAGGGCTCTTGGGTTTCAAAGTTCAACCAACCCCGTATCGCTTTGGATTCCTGGAGGGTATTTTTTTATATCAGTCCTGGCATGGCCTAGTTCGGAAGCCATTTCCTTCATAAGCTGGGTGATAATCTTGTTATGGGCGCGCTCCACTCGCATTAGTTCTTGAGCGTTGCGTGAGCGTTCCCTTTCTAGATTATGCTTATGTCTAGATCTGGAATCTGACAGCGCCAGGACCATCTCGTAGAGGGAATGTAGACTCTCTAAAGCTGTTAACTTACACTCCCTCTTCATATTCCCCGCCATTTCTAGCGCTTCCTTTCCTCTCAGAAGCATTTCGTGCGCTTCTTTTGTTGCCATATCCATTTCCACCCCCAGTCGCCTGTTGGAGTTAAAAAGCAGGCTGGATCTTCCTTTTTCCAGTGCCTCCGATAGTGGTGATTCCGGCACAGATGTGATCGAAAGTTCTTCGTCGGATAAAACTGGAAGTGGAGGAATTTCTTCCTGCTTACTTTGTCGATAGCCGCATCTACCGGATCACAAACGGAGGATCGGATCGAGCTGTCGCTTTTAGCTGAAGTTTGCGACATTTTAGTTCGCAGAGTGGGGGTGTAGGAAGAGGCATTTTTGTTTATTGTAGTTGCGTCTGTCGGAGCGGAGTCCGCTGGACGTTTTCCTGTTGCAGGATGAGATGATGGCTGCGACAACTTCTCGCTAGGTGTTGCTTTTGTTAAATGGATTTTGTAAGTACTTTTTCCCGCAGCGATCGTGGAGGTCTAGGTGGAGCAACAGAAAGGTTTTGGGAAGACTTGTTTGAAGAAGCAGTCTCCACATCCGACAAGATTACTTTATTTCCTGACATAATTACAAAAATTAAGAGATTCTCTAATTGTAAGTAGCCTTAGTAGCTATAAATATAGATAATGCTTAATAAAATATTATACAGTATTATATATATATATATATATACGAGGGTGGATTGAAAAGTACTCGGCCTAACACAGATCCATTCAATTCTAAAAATCAAATCTACCCACATTATTTAGTTCAGTTCAGACTAGTTCATTGTGTGAAGTTCGAAACGTGTGCGATAATTAGTTGTGATTTTATAAATTTATTAACAAAGTAATCGGACATAATTTCCGCGAATGGAGCAAATCGAGCAGCGTGCCGTCATTAAGTACCTCCATAAGAAGGGGCTATCATCAAAAACCATCCATGATGACATGGTCAGTACATTAGGCGATTGTGCTCTGTCATATTCATCCGTCAAAAAATGGATAGCAGAATTTAAGCGTGGTAGAGAGAGTGTGAAAGATGAACCCCTCTCTGGAAGGCCTTCGACGTCAACTACTGACGAAAATATTAAAAAAGTACTTGATTTAATAATGGGAGACCGCAGATTAAAAATTAGAGAGATAGCCGAGATTATAAGCATCTCTTATATATATATATTTTTTTTAATATTTGATGATATTTATTATAATTTTTTTTTGTGAACTCACTGCTGGTGTTCTTCGATGGTTGAATTGCAGTGAGGAGTACGATGGACGCGAAGAAAGAGCCCGTTGTGGGATCTCCGGTTGGTATGCTGTGAGTCCTGGAGTATGCTTGAGGTGTTATTGTCCGGGTTGGTATCGGACTATGGTGGATAATCAAGTAGTAAGTAAGTTCTGTAGGGGCCAGAAGGTAGAGCTCTTTTTCCTGATTCAAATGAGCCCTTACACGGGGGGTCTAGCTCCTCTGGTAACCTAGTTATGGCTCGCGAGGGAGAGGTAAGCCTCGAGGGGGGAGGGGGGGGAGAGAATTCGCGGGAAGCTTATATATGGTATAATAAAAATTGAGGGGGGCGTAGGTAGTTGGGGGTGGAGGGGGGGGGGTAGGGGGGAATTCGTAAGGAGCGTATATCTGGTATAAAATTTAAGATTGTAGGGGTTAGGTAACCTAGTTATGGCTCGCGAGGGAGAGGTAAGCCTCGAGGGGGGAGGGGGGAGAGAATTCGCGGGAAGCTTATATATGGTATAATAAAAATTGAGGGGGCGTAGGTAGTTGGGGGGTGGAGGGGGGGGGTAGGGGGGAATTCGTAAGGAGCGTATATCTGGTATAAAATTTAAGATTGTAGGGGTTAGGAGGGTAGGAAGGGTGAAAGAGGGTGTTAAAGGTGGGGGGGGGTCAAGGATAGGGGTTGTTATAAGGGGGGGGAGGAGGTGATATGTGTGGTGGGGTCTTGAGAAACTGACTCAAATGAGTCCAAGCTCGGGTGGTCAGGAGTAAGGGGTCTAGGAGTTCCCTCAGGGTTTACCTGATGGCCGTTGAAAGTGTCTCCAGCTGCGGCGATTGTATGCTTGGGGGATTCCTCGGTCCATCTTCGAAGGCTCCACTGAAGTCTGCACCGTCGCCGCACGCCTCGTGTTCACTGACACGCTTTAACCTCAACGTCTGAAAGCACGTTGCAACCACGTGGTTTGAGGTTAAGTTGTTAATTTTAAGGAGTCAATAACTTCTGTGTTTGTGGGCCGATTTTCTTGATTCTTTCGCCGTTTTACTGATCTCTATAGCGGTTCTCGAGTACTGATGTGTACTTGGCAATTTTGCTGATGGTGTCGACACTATTTATCCCCAAAGTTAAGAGGCTACTGCTCCTAAACCATCCAATGCACAGAGTTCTCTCCAATTACACTGATGAACTGCACACTCAAAAACTTTTTCACAGCACTTCCACTCGCGTAGCTCAAAAATTGCTATTTTTTAAGCAATTTCTCCGTGGAGCTTATGTTGAATATGTCACTTTCAGATGTGTAATGGGTTAGGTTAGGTTAGGTTAGGTTGGCGGTTGTACGTGGGAATCGTGCGGTCCATGGCCCTGTATGGGGCCCCTGTATGGGCGATGGACATGACGGCCAGCACTCTCGCCATTCTGCGCAAACCGCAGAGGGCGATGGCCGTCAGAGTCACCCGCGGGTATCGCACGATTTCCTACGAGGCGGCTTGCGTCCTGGCCGGATCCCCGCCCTGGGACCTAGAGGCAAAAGTACTCGCGTCACTATATCGATGGCGCGAGGAAGAGCGGGGACGGGGCTCGAGGCCGGTGCAGCGACAGATCGCGCTGCGCCGAGAGGAGCTCCGTCAGGTCTTGGTGGCGGAATGGCGGCAAAGGCTTCTGCGCCCTACCGCCGGCCTCGCTATCGTCGAGGCGATCCGGCCAGTACTCGACGACTGGCTCGGGAGAAGGCACGGCTCCCTGTCGTTTAGGGTGACGCAGGTGCTGTCGGGGCACGGCTGCTTTGGCAAGTACCTGTGCCGCATAGACAGGGAGCCGGACGCTCGGTGCCACCACTGCGTCCATTGCGGGAAGGACACGGCGCAACACACGCTCGCCGAGTGTGTAGCTTGGGAGGAGCAGCGCCGTGTCCTCACAAATGTAGTAGGAAGCGATTTGTCGCTGTCGGCCTTGGTGCGGAGTATGGTCGGTAGCGCAGAATCGTGGGATGCAGTGGTGTCCTTCTGTGAGGACGTGATGTCGCAGAAGGAAACTGCGGAACGGGAGAGGGAGATCTCGACTCCCTTCCCTGGCCGCAGAAGGCGCACCGGGCGCAGGAGAAGGGCGGACAACGCCCTTTTCCAGCCCCCATGAATAAGTCCAGGGGCGAGGGACTAGGGGAAGCCCCCGCCCCCCTATTCGATGGACCCGAGGCGGAGGCACGCGTGGGTGTCGGCGCGTGCCTCTGAGGTGATACAGGGGGTAGTTGAACACCTCACTACCCCGTGCAGGAGACGAGGCCCGTACAGACCGGGCCAGCACTAGTGTGGGGCTGCGGAAGAATTTGGATTCCCGCGGCCCCGCGCGTGCACGTGCGAGGAGACACCGGGGTGGTTTTAGCCGGTAAGAGTCCGGCACACCCCTCCGCCTGTCCCCAGGCAGAGGCAGTCCATGAGGATTTCCCCCCCCCGTAAAAAAAAAAAAAAAAAAAAAAGGTTAGGTTAGGTTAGGTTAGGGTAGGTTGGTTAGGTTCCCCCCCCGAACGGGTTCCCGCCTTGTCGTGGCGGGGGGCTTAGAAGCCGTGGCTTGGTCACCCACGGCGAAACAAATAGGAACCCATATGGCTGGTCCGAGGCGGAGGGCCGGCCCGAGGTGGCCACTCCGAGTGGGCTTGGGAAGCCCACTTCGGATGTGTGTTGGTGGACTGCGGTGAGAGGTGTGTCCTCCCCACCTACCGCTGCAGCCGAGGTGGAGTCGCGGAGGAAGAGGAGTGTTGGTATGGCGATGCGCCACTCGCCCTATCCTCCGCGACTCAAACGGGGCCGCACCGTTGATGCGGTGGTGGTGGGGCTGCGGGGGGAGAGGGCTGTCGGTATTGCGAGGCGCCGCTCTCCCTACCCTCCGCAGCCGAATCTTGGTTGGCGGCGGAGCCATAGACCAGATCCGCCGCTGGGGTCGGGAAGGCTAGTACTTCTAAGTGCTTGTTTTTCCTGGCCCCATGGCCTTCTTGCATTGGACGCGGGGGCGTCCGTTGCGCAGATGTGATTAGAGGCCGAGAAGGAAGGCGCGCCATGTGTTCTGGTGCGCCTTACCTGTGAAGGAGAACGGGGAGGAGTATTCCGCTCCCGAGGAGGTGCTGCCATAGGGCGGCAGGCGCTGGTGGGGCTGCGGATGTGTGCGAAAGTGTTCCCGTGGCCCTGCCAATAAGCGACAAAGGTGGAACACCATGGGGTTTTAGTCGGTGCGAGTCCGACATAACCCGTCCTTGCCCCCGCGAGGCGGGTATGCGTAGGCATTTCCCCATGTAAAAAAAAAACTTCTTTCTCTTATAGTTAACTTTGTGTAGTTCTATTCAATGTTTTTTTTTGTTATTATTTTTTTTTTATTTTTTTTTGTATTTTTATATATATATATATATATATATATAAAAAATATATAATATATATATTTATTTTTTTTTTTTTTTGGTGTTGTACTGCTTACAATTTGCTTTGGCATATTCTTTCGGTTACTTTTATAATTAATATATTCTTATTTTATAGTTAATCTACACTTATTGTAATTCTAATTATAATAACAATTCATAACATAATGCTTTGTGTGAATGTACAACTGGTTACCTTATTTTAATTATCTATCTGGATTCATTCCTTGTTAGTTATTGTTTTGCTATCTTGTATAAATAATCTACACTTATTCTAGTCCTATTTTTAGTAACATTTTTTTTTAATAATTTGTGCTGTTTATGATTACTTTGACATTTTTACGGCCTATTTATTTACTCCTATTAAAATTATACTAATTACAATTACTTTTATTAAAATGTATCTATTTACCCGCTATACTCATAATTACACGATTACTAATCTATTATCTTACTACCGTTTTCTTTATTAATTATTTTTAGTATTTGCAGTGCGAATTCCAGAAATATAGTTCGGCAGTTGTTGTCTTCAACGATTAATGATAATGATTTGTTATTTATAACCAAGCCCATTCTGCTTTCGCAGTCAAATCTTTTATGTGCAAATCGAGGACATTCTATTAAAATATGTTCGATCGTTTGTTGACTTTCGTTATCGCAATAGCAGTATGGGGATGGCGACAGCTTAAATCTATGTAGATATGCTTTGTTGCCACCATGACCTGTGAAAAGTTGAGTTAACATATTAGTCATTTTGATATTTTTTAGTATTTTATAGGCCGTTTCAATACTAGGGAAGAAGGTCTTCGTTACTTCGCTGCCCGTACATTCTTCATATTTTGCCTGCCACATTTGTAGTGTATTGTGTCTGGTAAGGCGCTTTGCATACGACAAAGGAACTCTATCGTATCTGGTCTTTTGTTTATTTTTAACAGCTGCGTACTTAGCCAATTCATCTGCTCTTTCATTTCCACTTATTCCAGTGTGTGCTTTGATCCAGTATAATCTTATGACGCCCCCTTTCATTTCTATTGTTTTTATATTATTTCTAATTTCAGCAGCAAGAGGGTGTAAGGATGATGGATCACTGATACTCATTATTGCTGATCTGGAGTCGCTGAAAATATTTGCTTTCAGTATGTTTTTTGCTATTAGGTATTCTAATGCCATCAGAATTGCCACGAGTTCGGCTTGGTAGACGCTGCAATAGTTTTCAAGTCTGAAGTTAATACTTTTTATTTCGGTGTTCTCGTTCCAGATGGTGACAGCTGCTCCCACTTTATTGTTAAGTTTACTTCCGTCAGTGTAGACTTTTATCCAGTTGTTAGTTTTTTCGTCGATATCTTTCTGAGAATTAATATATTCGAAATTATATTTCTTCCTTTCGGAGGGGTGCGGTAAGTCGAATGGGCTTATTTTTTTCTCCAAAAGTCTTCCCGGTAAGGAATCTATAGGTTTCCCACGTTTTATCTCATAAATAACAGCATTTTCTCTGGCTCTGAGTGCTAAAGGGATTATTTTAGCCAGTAATGTGCTCGATACTAAAGAATTTGTTTTATGACCTTTGCAGATTCTTATGCTGAAGAGTCTTGTAAGTCTGTTTAATAATCGATCCACGTATCTTTTTTCAGTAGTATGCGCCCAGCAGCTCGCCGCATACAACACCGTTGGTTCTACTACAGCTGTATATATTATACGGACAATGTCTGAGTTGAGTCCCCATTGTGCTCTTGCTGCTTTAGATATCATTTTATAGAAATTAACTGCCTTGCGACTAATGTTTTCTAAGTGTGGTTTAAAGGTAAAGTTTTTGTCTATCGTAAGGCCTAATATAGTCAGATGCTCCGCATAATTCAGCTCTATTCCTTCCATATATAACTTAGGTGTATGGTACTTTAGCTTTTTCGTTATTATGATTGCTTGGGTTTTATGGGGCGCAAATTTTAGCTTGTACTGTTTTCCCCAGTCTGATATAAGTTTTAAGGTGTAATTAAGGTCTTTCTCTAGTTGTTCTCCATTTTTGTTGATACCTATCAAGAGTATGTCATCCGCGAAAGCTTGTACATGAGTATGTAGGTCTTCTGTTGCTTGCAAAAGGGAGTCTATTAAGGTATTCCATAGTATCGGTCCACAAGTAGAGCCCTGAATGCATCCCTTATTTGTGGGTCTCGTAACTGTTTGTCCAGCATATCTTAAATTTATAGTTCTGTTGGCAAGGTAGCTTGTTATTAGTTTGAGCATAGGTGTATTTATCTGTTTGGCATGTAGTTGGTTGATTATTGCTGGCCACCAGGCATTATCAAATGCACCTTCAATATCCAGCGACACTAGTGCGACAATTTCCTTTTTACAAAGTCCATTTCTGATTACAGTGATGGTGTCGTAAAGGGCATCTTCAGTGCTCCGTTGAGGAGTGAACCCATATTGCCTATTGCTAATCTTGTTTTCCCGTCCGAATTGCCATTGTATCCTGTTTACAAATAGTTTCTCCAATAACTTTCCCAGTATCGGTAGTAAGCCTATAGGTCTATATGCTTTGGGGATGGAGTAATCTTCTTTATTTGGCTTTGGTATAACTTTAATGGTAGCTATTTTCCATTTTGTTGGAAAATGGCCAAGCCTAAGACATTGGTTCATTAGACTCAAAGCTGTTTCTGGGTCAGTTCTATACGCCGCCTGGCAGATGTCCGAAGTTAAGCTATCTCCGCCCGGTGCCTTTTTCGGGCTCATGTTGTTGAAGATATGTTCAACTTCTGCGAAAGTAAAAGGCTGTAGTATTTCTAGAGTATTATTTTCTAGTTTTCTTATTAATTCTTGCACGTTCTTCCTTAGTTTAGCTTGTTCTTCAGTATCGGTGTCGATACTATCCCACGGGAAAAAGGTTTCGGCCAATAGATTGGCCGATTCCGTTTCACTGAGAATAGTGCCGTCTTTATTACGTAGCAGCTTCTCTTCTTCGGTATTGGAACACACTTTAAGAATTCTATAAGTCCGTTGCCATACGTTTTCTTTCTCTTCAGTGCTGCATAGATCTTTCCAACTTTGTGTTGCAGCTGTTTCTATGCTGTGGATATATTCTTCTCTTGCTTTGAGATAGAGGTCTATGACAAAGTTTCGTCTTTTAGGGTTCGCGTTTCGAATCCTTCTTCTTGTCCTAATCATCTCTTCTTTTTTAATTTTTAGTTCATTTGTCCACCATATTGCTGCTTTCTTTGTTTTCTTAGGTGTGATTAAGGGGATCGCGTTAACACATGCCGATGAAATGCATTGCGTATATTTATCAACCATAATGTCTAAATCTTGTGTCGTCTTTATTCGTTCTATAATGACCTTGTTGACTTGGTTGCCACTTAATTCTGTCATTAGATCTTGTTTAAATACTTCCCAGTTCGCTTTCCTAGTATTAAACTTTCGCGTGCTGGTGATTGTCTTTTCTAATATAGGATTCTCTAGATTAAGCTCATATAATATTGGTTTGTGGTTTGACAAAGTGCTAAATGTTTCATCGACTCTCCAGTTTTTGATCTCGTTTATTAAAGAAGCTGAACACACTGTTATATCTATAATACTGGAGCAAAGCTTGCCCATCCTATAAGCTGCAAATGTTGGGTTGCTGTCAGTATTGAGGATTTCTAGATTTAATTCAGCCATTGTCTCCATTATTTGAGAACCCCTTTTATCGTCAGCATCGCATCCCCACCAGACACTTTTTGCGTTGACGTCTCCTGCAATAATGTAGTCACTTGCGTCCATGTTCGACGTGAATTGGTTGATTTTGGTAAGATCTTCATCAATATTTCCTTTCTCATGCAAGTAAATGCTAATTATACCTATCCTCTTATAATCTACTTTGATTGTGATTGTTACAATATCTTCCGTAATTAGGTCTGGATTCACAGTGTACTTAATATTTGGATCTAAGACAACGATTGCCGATCTGACTGGTTTATTTTTGTCGTGACTAACTTTTTGGACAACGCGGAAGTTTGAGCCTAGGGTAACGTGGGCTTTTGCTCCGACATAAGGTTCCTGCATCAGTATTATTGAAAATCCCTGCATCGTGGCTGCGCGTAAACACTCTTGTGTTGCCGCACGCCCACGATCCAGGTTGTATTGAACTATTTTTATTTTGTTATTGTCTGGGGTTGTTGTAGTGTCAATTATCTCTTAACAATAATTTACCGAGGATCTTGCAATCCTGTCCCATTTAGCCCACTCCGGACATTCAGAACTGTAAGCTGGATGGCCTAAGGATTCTTTTTGTAAATTTTTGCAGTTTTTGCATTTTGGTGTTTGATTTCGATTCGTGCACAATCTGGTATCATGCTCCTCGGAACAATATCCGCAAACCAGTCCGTTATGGCAATCTCTAGCTAAATGATTAAATCCCAGACACTTATAACATTGGGTAAGAGGAGAGTGGTCAACGCATGGAACTACTTGATAACCTATACGCAGCCTTTGGTCTTTTAATTTTATCCACATTTGTGGTGTTACCTCTAGAATGACGTTGACTAGTTCACGGACCCTTCCTTTCGTTCTGCGGAGTACTTTGGCTGCTTTCTGTGGTTCTATTATTCCTGATACCAAGTTGCTATTTTGTGTCACCAATGCTTTGATAAGTTTTTCGTCGCTGAGTTCGGATGTGATACCTATTAACCTTAAATGCGGATTTTTGTTCGAAAGTGTAGATACAGATAGTTTGGTGCACGAATCTCGAATTGCAGTTCTTAAAGTTTGCCTATCTTCTTGACTGTCACAGCTGATAACTACTCTTTGGTTTTTGAGTTTCGTTATCTTGTTGACACCAATTCCTAGTTCCACTGGATCAACTCCCCTTTTTACTTGTTTTACGATATCGTCGCTGGTCAGACGAGGATCTATAGATTCAAGGATCATGGGAAAACGGGGCGCACTCACAGCATTGGCATAGGTCTTTTGCGGTGGCTTATATGGTGCTGGGGCTACCCGTACGTTAGTTTCCCTTTCCATTGGTGGAGCGCAGGGGACTCCCCCTGCGCTCCATAGTTCATCAATCTTATCCTTAATTTCCGCGATTGCCAATTCTGCTCCCAAGCTTGAATTGCTTTGGAAAGCTAGCTGACTTGTATTGAATTCTTTTATTTCATTTATATCCTTCATCATCGTTTTCATGGTGACGATGATCGGTTCTAAAACTTTTTTAACGTCCTCACTTTGTTCATTTATTGTTGTGGTGATACAGGGTGGTGTTGCTTTGATTTCCGAGATCATTTGTTTCAACTCCTGTACCTCTGTAATGACAGTATTAGTGTCTGTTTGTATGACCTCTGGGACTGGTGTTTTCTTTTCTGTCTCTTTATGAATTATGATAAATTGTTCAATCATCTGGGTTAAGAGACTGATTTGTTGTGTCATTTCTTTTACTTGTAGCGACAGTTTTGTTGCTAACTCTGACTGCTTCTGCGCAGTTACTGAAATTATTGTTTCAGGCGCTGGATGCGGTAATGCCTTTGTGACGAGTCCCTGCACTTCTAGTTGAATTTTACTTATGGCTTTTATAGGCTCGTCCATCTCGTAACTCAACCAGCTGCGTATAGCTTCCACAGATTTACCTGTATTGCGAATTTCTTCAAGGGATTCTACCACCCTATTTACAATTTGGGAGTGAATTTCTGTCAGCTGCTTGTTATGAGCACGCTCAATTCTTACCAATTCCTTTGCAGATCGGCATCGTTCCTGCTCTAATCCAAGGCGATGCCGCGAGCGAGAATCAGATAACGAGAGCACTGTTTCATATAATCCCTGCAAGCAGTCGTGTACTTCTACTTTGCAGTCGCGTTTCATATTTCCGGCTTTTTCAAGTGCTTCCTTGCCTGAGAGCAGGAAGTCATTAGCTCGTTGAGTAGCTAGATCCATTGATATACCGGCCCGCTTGTAAGCGGGTGGCAATATACTGGATCTCCTGCTGTTAAGGCTGGTTGCACTATCTGCGTCAGACCACTCATCATCAGTACGTTGGAATGGTTTACATTTCCCTAAAACCTCCAATTCGGCTTCCATGTCTAAAGTTAATGAGCTTCGGTTTTCAGAATCTGCTTCCTGTCCCATTTCAGTAATGATGTTATGAGGGTCAACTGCTGCCGGTTTTTCAGGTTTCATAGGGTCATTCACGCTCTGAGTTTCCTTGCTGGTCCCTGTAAGGCTCACTGTTTCAGGGCACGGTTCGCTGATGGAGTAACTTCTGGTGGTTGGAATATCCTCTGTTGCTTTGTTAGACGTGGCAGCATTCTGTATGAGTACTTTTTTACGTAGAGTCGTACTGAGAGTTGGACTAGCAGCCCTGCTCGTTTTAGATGTCCTTGATTTGATTGAGCCCGTGATGCGGTTGACTTACTGGACATTATTTATGTTTATTCTTCAGAAAAGGCGCTATCGGTATGGCTTGTACAGAAATAGAAAGCCTGTCTCAAGCCAAGTTGTTTAAACCCAAACACGACCGGTTTTGGTTGAATAGTGCCGGAGTTATGACGGTTTAAATTTTTCCAATATGGCCGACCGTAACTTTGTTTTTGCTCTAGATCGGTATTTTATGGATCAAAATGCTTCGTGCTTGGGCTCAATTCGTGGGAAATAAGATGAGCTATGCGTTCCACTTAGTCACAGCCACCTACAGACCAGGTGCTTTCTGGCAAGAGTTTTAGCTCCGTCAGGCTGCCCTGATCAAAATAAGGCCAAACACGACCCTCCCCGCTCAACTGGTTCGCGAGAATTTCAACAAAACCGATTTCCAATATGGCGGCCAATTAAGATCAGTTTCTCTAACTTTGGAACGGTGAAAGGTAACAGAGTCGTGTTTGGACTCTTTGGATAGCTCTGGGCAACGGTATTACGAATCTATTAAGCAACAAATGAAATAATTAATTATTTGCAATTTATGAAGCGAAATGTTATAAAATATGCGAAAAAATGTATATCTCAAAAACTATCAGGAATAATTGAATTCTAAAAATGGCAAAAGTTTAAGGATTTTAGGTCTATTTTGTAAATTGATTCTAAAGTAGCCGCAAAGGCCCAGAAGTGGGAGCACGTGTAAGCGTAATTTGATATAAAATGGAATATCTCTGTAATTTCAAGACAGAAAAATCTGAAATTTTCCACAAAGGTAGTCTTTAATATCCTTTAAATAAATGAAAAATAAAAATTATATGTTATCGATTTATTTTTAAAATTATAAAAGGTTAAACATAACAATTTTTTAATAAAAGAGGTTTTACGTCAATAAAAAGAGTAGGGGTGAACCGATCTAAGCAAATGAGGTGTCATCTGAAAGGCCTTTGCACACCGCATCCAAAACCACACTTTAAATTAACCGGACTTAATTATTTCTCGAACCACGTGCCACGTGGTTTTTGAGAAAAATCGTTATAACTACGTGATTTTTTAAGGAAAAAGTCCGGAACAAATTGCAAAAAGTGAAGCCAATGAAATGCCAAGTGGTGCGCTAAAAAAGTCAATAGGTTGCTGATCTAGATTTTGCAGCGTTCGCGGATATATGTTAAAGTTTTACCTGTTTTTGAGGTTATTTGTAGTTTTTCCACAAAATTTCACTCAGGTAAAATCCTGTGCTTGCGAACACTATGCACAGATCAAAGCTTACACTTTTCCGCGCACTTTGGTATATAACACACCACAATAGCACAAATTTAACCCACTTTTCCGAATTTTTGAACACGGAGCTCAATCACAACAATGCTTTCGGTACGGCGGACGGACTCAACTGGGGTTAGGTTAGGTTAGGTTAGGTTTCAGGCAGGCTGCCACGGGTGCGCGGCTGTTCGAGGTGGCTGGCACTGTGAGCGACAGTGCCGAACAGGCGGACGCATTGGCCGCCAAGATGAGAGAGGTCCTCAACCCTGAGGACGTCCGGGTCTCCAGACCAATGAAAACCGCAGAATTGCGGATTGCTGGCCTGGACGACTCCGTGACATCTGAGGAGGTGGTGGCGGCCGTTGCCAGAAGCGGAGAGTGTCCGCCGGACAAGGTGCGGGCCGGCGATATACGCACCGATGCCACCGGACTTGGCGCGGTCTGGGTTCGGTGCCCTGTAGCGGCGGCAAAGAAGATCGCCGATAGCGGCAGATTGCTGGTAGGCTGGGTGGCGGCAAGGACGAAGCTGCTACAGCCCCGGGCTTTGCAGTGCTTCCGGTGCCTTGAAAAAGGGCACGTCCGGGCGAAGTGCACCGCCGAGGTTGACCGTAGTGCCCTTTGTTACCGCTGCGGCCAGCCTGGCCACAAGGCGGCCCTGTGCACCGCGGCGTTCAACTGCAGCCTTTGCTCTGCTGCGGGAAGGCCAGCGGAGCACAGAGTAGGCGGAGGGGCCTGTGGGGCGCCTACCAGCAAGTCCAAGGCCAAAAAAGAAAAGAAGAGGAGCACCAAGCCTGCCGAGTTAACCTCGCTGCCCACACAGGCCAGTAGCTCCGCGGGCGACTCCCGGCCCAGGACCGTTGAGAAGGAAATGGAATGCCAATAATGGCAAAGTTCCATTTTCTCCAGGGCAACATCAACCACTGTGCCAGAGCTCAGGATCTCCTACTCCAGAGCTTGGCAGAGTGGTCGATTCACGTGGCTGTGGTCGCCGAACCGTACTTCATTCCCGCCCGTGACAACTGGCTGGGATGCGCTGACGGTTTGGTGGCCATTATTGGCGAGACTCTGATCGAACCGTCTCGGGGCCGTGGCTGGGTTGCTGCGGTCTCGGGTGGTATCGTTATTGTGGGGGCGTATTTCTCCCCCAACAAGTGTCTAACCGACTTTGAGGGTTTCCTTGTCGAGTTGGGCGCCGTCGTAGGCCGCTATCACCCTCGTCCCGTTCTGGTGCTCGGGGATCTCAACGCAAAGTCATCAGCGTGGGGATCTCCGGTCACTGATCCTCGGGGCGAGGTGCTAGAAGAGTGGACAGTGACAACTGGTCTGGTCGTCCTGAATCGGGGTTCGGAATAAACGTGCGTGCGGCAGCGGGGGCGGGCCGATAGTGGACGTCTCGTTTGCCAGCCCCTCTGTCGCCAGCCGAGTCCGCGACTGGCGTGTCGCCGTAGGGGTGGAGACGTTGTCGGACCATCGGTATATCCGGTTCGACGTCTCTGCCCAGACTGCGAGAGGCCGCCATCCAACTACCCCGATTAACGACGGCCCGCGTTGGGCGCTTAAACGCATCGACAGGGAACTACTCGAGGAAGCTGCCTTAGTCCAGTCCTGGATCTGGGAGTCGGCAACGGACGGTACCGTCGACGTCGAAGCAGTGGCGCTATGGTTTCGCGGGGCGATGACGCAGATCTGTGACGCGTCCATGCCCCGTGTCCGCCAACGGTCCGCAAGGCACCAGGTGTACTGGTGGACCGCCGAGATCGCGCAATTGCGCATAGCGTGCGTTGCGGCCCGACGCCGGTACACCCGATACCGGAGACGGCGTCGACGGGATTCCGCCGAGGAGGACGCGCTGTATGAGGTGTAGCGCGCGTCTAAGGAGACTCTGTGGCTGGCCATCGGCGACTCGAAGTCGCGTGCTAGGGAGGAGCTGCTGGGGGTCCCTAGATCGGGATCCGTGGGGGCGCCCCTACCGTTGGGTACGGGGCAAGTTGCGTTCCTGGGCGCCTCCACTAACGCAAACAATGCAACCCCAGTTGCTAGAGACGGTGGTATCAGTTCTCTTCCCTGAACGAGTGGGACACGTTCCCCCGGCGATGGCTTCGTCCTCAGCCACAGACTCTCCAGAGGAGGAGAGCACCGATGTCCCCAAGGTGACGCAAGCAGAGATGAGAGCGGCCATGGCGCGACTTCGGGCCAAGAACACAGCGCCCGGACCCGACGGAGTTCCTGGTCGAGCTCTCGTCCTGGCTCTGAAGGAGCTGGAGCCCCAGCTGAGGGGGCTCTTCACGGCATGTCTCGAGCAGGGTCAGCTTCCCAGTGTGTGGAAGGAGGGAAGGCTGGTCCTACTCAGGAAGGAGGGGCGCCCCGCGGACTCACCGTCCGCGTACCGTACCGTAGTGCTGCTCGACGAGGCGGGCAAACTTCTTGAGCGTATCATCGCAGATCGCCTCGTCAGCCACTTGTGCAGAGTGGGGCCAGACCTGGACGAGAACCAGTTTGGTTTTCGTCGCGGGCGATCCACCATAGACGCTATTACGCGCGTGAGGGCCCTGGCGGAGGAGACAGTATCCCGGGGTGGGGTGGTGCTGGCGGTGTCATTAGACATCTCCAACGCCTTCAACACCCTACCCTGGAGCTGTATTCGGGAGGCGCTTAATTACCATCGCGTGCCTCCCTACCTCCGCCGCACAATAGGGGCCTACCTTGAGGAGAGATGCGTCACGTATCGGGGACGTGACAGCGCTGGTCGACGCGTCATGTCGTGCGGT